CGAGGGCAGGGCCAGGGTGATGATTGGTGCAACAGAATTGATTAAAAGCCGTGTCACGAGAGCGTCCGCCCCACTTCCGATGTAACGAGGCACAGAGTTTTCCGACTTGGGAATCGTTTCTATGAATCGGGCCTAGCAACCAACTTCAAGCCCAATACAACAGATACATGTGTCGAACCTTGACAGTCAACAAAGTGATAGTCATTGCACACATGCAGATGTATCAACACAATGTCAGATGCTTAAAATTAAGCAGGGAACATGTCGGCCTGCAAGCTACCAAACTGGTGGCGAAGCAATTTCCTGGAGGAAGCCATGAAAATGAGTTACTAGGGTTCCAATCAGTGCAAAAACAGGGGCACCATAATTCTCGCATCAAAAAACTAAAAACAGTAACTATCCTAGTGATAAAGAATCGAGTGGAGTATATCATTTATTAAATTTTATATGATTGAATTGTGCCAATTGTAGCTTTCTTGAAATTTGAATGCAAAGTGTCTGAATTTCAAAAGTAGAAACATTTCCATTCCAAATTTCTTTCAACAAGACGGACAAATTTCAGCTCCAATTGCTTCTGAGAGTTTTTTTAATTTCGCGGCGTAAGAAAAGAGTTGCTCTACATCCACTTGATCCCTACGTCGTTGTCTGCAATCAGCACCAGGTTAGACGAATTCAGCTGAATGTGTATTTTAGTACCCTACACATGTGTTTACCGTATCAAAACCCTGTTTAGAAGGGTGTCGGAGGCAGGTGCAGCCCACCTCGCGCATCGTATCGTGGGGCCTCTGTATCTTCACACGTACTATGGAGTACGTGAGATTCTTTCTTGTTTCGAAATAGAAGTGTCTTACCAGTAGGTACCCAACTGCTTGATTTCGGTGGGCAAACTCCATGGAAATTGGAGCTGTTGGATTGCTGCGTGTATTTAGTTTATTCTCGTTGTTCTCTAAGATTGAACAAGACAGTTACCGTCGATCAGAAAAAGGATATTGAGGAATGCTTCTGCATGGCAGAGAATTTATTACCCTGACCTGCTATTAAAATAGTTCATGCAAAAGCTTCCTGTCGTCACTTTTAATGGGTGGTGGAGATTCACACATGCTCACGCCGTCTGAACCTTCGCGGTTTCTGTGGTTGACAATAGTCTTGCATGTCGCACTGGTCTTCGGTGCACCAGGGGCTTTTGGCTGAAAACCTTTTTCCATAGCAAGCAATTGACCTGTAAGAATTCAGTTCCCTTCTTCTATACCAATTTTGGAGCATGAATTAGTGCTAGGGTTGTGAGATTTGAGGCTCAGACGGTCGCTTCCGGAATATACTGCTGGTTTTGGAGGGTTTGTGGAGGAATGAGGAATGTGTGTTTTGCTTGTTCTCTACTTCTTCAGGTATGATGTTGAGTTGGAGAGAGGTGCCATGGGAACGTACAATCTCATGAATTTCATGCCACCACTGACGAATGCAGCTCCGCTTTGCACGTCCTGGTTAGAATATCTATTGTTTGTCTGGTATGCTTTCTTTTCGGGATTAAGGGTGTGACTGAAGGAAAGAACACACTTAATATATAGCTCATAGCGTGCATTAACAGTCGCAGTACGCCTACCGGCACACACTCTCTCTTTGTTGTCTATATGCCTTGTTTTTCGCATATGAGATCCCTCTCTTTCCAATGAAGATAATGCTATTCTGCGAGCATTCACGCATATCTACATGCACAGCACGAGTATGTAAACATATGCCTTCTTTTTCCTCTCGGGTGTGATCCAAATTCTCCTGCCAATGTGGCAAGCTTAGGGCGTGGTCGACCCCACACAGACATACTGAATGCGGAGGCAATTCGTAGCAGCTCGTAATGCGCAGGTAGCTTCCTAGGTGTCGCATCCAAGTGGAGGGTAGTTTGGCATGTTTGCTATGCAGTCCAATAGCGGCAACTTGCAGAATCTCTTATCGGCTGGGTGGCCACGCGGAGAAATTCTTTCGCTCTGCAACTAGCGAAGTTCTAGCTGCACGTTGGTCGTGCTGATGAAATCGGTGGCGAGAAAATCCGCAGACAATCAGATGCATTATATTCGGACTATTTTACAAATTAGACTTCGTATCTCAGATTTTGGCTGTTGAACTGAAATTTTCCCCCGTTTGTTACAGCATTCCTTGATCCCAGAATCATATTACTATGTTCCATGCAAAGATATTCATACGCTCAAACAAAACGAAACAAAAAAGTAAAAGCAAAAAAGCAAAGATTATACCCTAGCAATCTCTCTAGGGTTGATCTTCTCCCTAATATCTCTCTACCTAAGCTCCACGTCTATCAGACTTCCAAATCTTTGCACAGATCAGGGTATGCCAAGTGGTGATCCGTCGGGGCATTGATTGCACCAGAGAAATTAGGGGTCCGGAAGTTTCTGATTACCGCTCATTGTGAAACATATTACCATGCGGCGCAGTTAGATCTACTTCAATACAGCACTGAATTGGTTCTTCAGAGAATGGGTTTTCCATGGATCCGGACTCCCCTCTTGCCACTCTCGCCGATTATTCAGCATAGTCAGTAACCGTTTGGATTCTGCTGCACGCGTTTGTTCGAACACCTGGTGCTCATGAGCAAAGAGAGAGATCCGAAACGACCACCTCGCTGGAAGGTTAGGTACTGAATGAATCGGCAACAAGCTTGGATTATGGTGTTTGATTAGCCGGGGATTGGCATGAGCTGCTAAACAGGAATCGTCGTCGCAGGAATTCCAGCATTCATCTACAAGATCCGGTGCCAGAAGTGCGCACAGTTGGATCTTGGGTTCAACCAGAAGTTGAAACCTAGTGGTCCCCAGGCATAAGCTTGTGTTATTGAAGGTCTTAATGTTTCAAGAATTATTGAACATAATCCCGCTGTTATTGAGAAGAGGAAATTGAAACACACATAGTCCAGTTTCAGTGATAGAACTTAATATCCGTGGCATACAGGCTACAAGATGCCTCAGTTTTACAAAGTAAGGCTTCCTATCAACGCTAACATGCGGCCCTGGAATTCTTTGCAACTGGCGTTGTTATTGTATGGCGTTTCCATTGTGCCACCCGGCCTTCAAAAGCCAAGATTCAATAGAGACAAAGTGGAACAAAGATACTACAACACATGCTCACAAATAGCCAGCCGGTTGCTAGCAACCACCGGAAACCTCTTCAGTGCACGCGACGCTTTCCGGGATTGTTACGAATAAGCTGAACATCCTCGATGGTTAATTTTTGATGCAAACTGTCGTCTGAGCGGGTGGAGAGGCTGTTCACAGACCTGAAGGTGATTGATTCTCCTGCCACTCAACAACTGTGCTGAGCTGCAGGAATATCTCGACAAAGCGGATCTTCTGCAGTGGCTTGGTGGATCTTCTGCAGCAAGGTGTGTGGTGTCCGGACTTGATTATCCACGCACACCACCATCCATAACGATATATTTCTTTCTATCTTTCTATCTATCTAGCTATCTATATATCTGTGTATCTATCTGTGCCTATTCACATCCACATGGGATCAATCGATCAGATGCACACTAGTTGCAGTGCCGATGGAGAGGGGCGGTACTCGCAACTCCAGGTCCCCCACCTCGTAAACTCCGCCCCCCGCATGTTGCACAAAATCCCACCCATTTCTCCTCCCTTCCCTTCACTATGACCATGACCCAGCTGTGTGTGTGTGTGTTGCGGAATGTGGGAGATGGGTAGATCGCTTTTCACAATTTTCACAGCTTTCCAGAATGCAGCATTTTACTTCTCACATTGCTTACATGCAACATCTAGAACAACAGAAGAATATAAGCAAGAATAGAAAATCTGTTGTTAGACAATGAATATTCAAGCAATTTACATATGCTACAATAATAAGGTATTTGTAATAGATGATTTTAAATATCCCTACCACAAAACATATATATATATATATATAGAGAGAGAGAGAGAGAGAGAGATTTTAGATGTGATATGTACTAAACATGTTGACATATCAAGAGAGCTTGAATGATGAACTCTTCTTTTGCCAAATCTTAATTCATTGTGTTATGTAGGTCTAATTTTATAACATATTTGCATTTAAAAAAAAGAATAAGATTGGAATGAATGACAAAGGGAAACATAAATAGATAATGAAAAAGTATTTTTTATATAAAAAAGATGGGAGAAAGAAAAAGAAAAAAGTTGAAAGAGATGATAAATAAGAATGAAGGAAATAATAAATAAGAAGAAAAAAGAGTGAACAAGCAACAAAGAGCTAGAGCAAAACAAGGAAGGCAGAAGGTAAGCACTACTTATCTTTCCTCTCTAGTTACATGCCATGTACTCTAAGTAATCAAACTTAGAATTAAAATAATAAATAAATAAATAAATAAATAAATAAATGGGCCAATTGTCTGAAGTTGGAACTCTTTTTGTTTGAATAAGTATTAATAGACAAGAAAATAAGAAGAAAAACACGTTCTATGGATTTAGACTTTGATCTATTAAAAAAAAAAAAAAAGACATAAATATAAGAGAATAGATAATCTATGTGAATTTGGGCCTTATCTTGTAAAATTAGACAATGAAGAGCATAGATATTAAGAAAACATGTATCAAATGTGAATTTTAGTCCTATTTTAATAATTTTGGCAATAAAAAGCATTAAGTCAAAAAAATAATTGTATTTTGTAAATACAATGAATAATTGTGTGGGCCCCCCACCACCTTCCCTCCCTCGCCCCCTCCACCCTCTTCCCCCCGACCCGTCTCCGTCCCCGTCTCGTCCCGTCCTGGTCGTCGTCCTCCAGTGAAGAGTTGGATTATTCAAAGGCTCCACTAGCACAGGCTGGTTTTAGTAAAGGGAGGGGAGGGAGGGGGATTCATGTGTTGCATTGTTGGGGCCCAGATCTCTCTGGCTCTCTCTCCCCCTCGCCCCCCCCGCAACCCACGTGCGGCGCCCATAGCCTTGTCTCGATTTAGCACATTGCACGAAGCACAGACAGAAGGTACCCCTCCATCCCACCACCCTCTCTCTCTCTCTCTCTCGCTCGCTCTCTCTCAGTCTCACTCGCTGCCTTCATCTCTCCCCTTCGCCCCCTTCTCATCGCTAATTCCCTTCTTCCCTTCCCTTCCCTTCCCTTCCCTTTCGTTCATTCTCTCCTTGACCTGATGCTCCTGCTGCTCCTGCTGCTCCTCGTCTGCACCAGGCTGTTGACGGTGGATGCACTGACTGAGTGATTGACCTCTGCGGAGAGTGTGCGCGTGGATGTGACATGCTAGAATGAGAATGGGTGGAGTCGCGGGGGATTCTTCTATCTTAGTCGCCTTGCCGTCTAAGCCCAATCCCCGGCGACCCCCACCCCTCTCGTTTCCCCTGTCTTCTGCTGCTGGAGGTGAAGCTGACTGGGAGGACGCGCTCGCCTCTCCCGGTCGGGACTCTCGCTTCGACCCTTTTCGCTCGCATCCTGATCGACTTAGAATGAATGAAATGGCTCCAGAGTGTGTTGGCCATAGGATGTGGCGCTCTGCATGTTGCGGAATTCTGTTTTCAGTGGTGCAATAATGGTTCATTTCGAATACAATGCTGATTTCGGGGGTTGTTTGGTTCTCCAGCAGAGCAATCACGCCCGAAGATGAAACAAAAATCCACAGACGATGGTTGCACTACCGACGAGGAGGGCGACTTGTCCAAGACGCTGTATGAATGCCGCTTCTGTAACATGCGGTTTGCAAAGTCCCAAGCACTCGGTGGTCACATGAATCGGCACCGGCTAGGTGACGAGAAATTTTCATGACACCCTTCTGGAAATTGCGTAGTATATTTTTCTTCGACTAATTTCCAGGGTCCAAGTTCCACCAAGTTTACTTCGAATTGTTTCGCACTGCTGAGGTGTTGAGGAGAGAGCTTTTAGAACAGACGGTGGACTCATGATAGAGTATAGGAATGAAAGAAATGGGACAGTTGAGGAAGCCTTGGTTTTCTGATGTCTCTTGGATTCTAGCTTTGAAACTTCAGCGTTTCGGAAATCCACTTTCGGTCACAGACCTCTGACGAGTTTAAAATTTAATTTAATTTTTGATCATTATTTTTAATTTGTCTCATGATTTATCCATCATCAGAGAGGGAGAAGGAGCAATATCAGCATGCGCAACAACTGGTGAGCTCATTGGCACAGCAGCAGATGCCGCGGACGTGGAATACGTAAGAACATTGTCAGGTTCCTTGTTTCTGAAGGATGAATTTGTCTCTCCACTTGCATAACTGGGAACACCCATCGTATCGCAAGCTGCATGTCGGAGCTGCTATTCTAATTGGCATTCTTTCTCTTGCAGGATGGCGGCGGAATTGAACCCTTCCGGCACAGGAGCAGCCCTGGCGAGATTGAGCAACCAAATGACTGGTGCTCCCCGGGTCGACGGATCAAGGCCACAACTCCCACCACAAATCTCTTTCAACTCAACGCGGCAACCAATCAGCACGACCTGCAGTAATTCGATCCCGACGTCTCCGTCATCCAATTACTACCTCCCTTCCAACTCGTCAAGCAAAAACCTCCAACATCTGCAGTGGAAAGTCGACGGTTTCGATTCCAACGGTACTATTCCTAGGTCAGGCTCACAGGAAGGCCTCAATGCGTTGGATTCCACGCTGCAGGGGGACGGCATGCGAGATGACTTTCTGTCGGGTATGCTTCGGCCGCGGCAAGACGGTGGGTCCTTCGTCAGCTCTCAGTTTAACAATATGAATCCAATGCTCTCGAGAGGGTTGGGTGGCCCGGGGTCGAACTCGTTCCATGGTTCTGGCCCAGATATGATTCAAGGCGGTTCGGGAACAACAGGTGACCACCTAAATATCAATCGAACCTTTCGACCCCCCCTCCCCCATTACGTCGTGTTCCTGAAGGATATTTTGTAGACTTGACCAATTGCTCTGTACGCATCGTCTTCCATGATCTGTTGTGCAGGGTTACAGTTTTGCCACAGCCGTACGAATTCGCACCAACCGCAGAGTCGGATGAACGATGTGCTGCGGCAATTAGCCTCCACAAGCACCCCGCTCAACTCCACTCTCATGCAAGGCAGTCTCCCCAACGATGTGAAACCGCCCGGTGCCTCCTTCGCTGCGATGCGCACTTCGGCATCCGCTCCCGCGTATTTTATGCAGGGCAACAACAACGTCCCGCAGTTTAATCAGCAACAAATGGGCCGACCTTCGGAGAGTCTGCTCCAGCCTTTCCAAACCTCAATCAATCGGCCGCTTGGCAATGCTTCCACCAGCCAGCACCATGCCATGTCTCGATCCAGCCTGTTTCCCAGCTACTCGTTCAATAACCTCGGCGCTCCAAACTTTGGATCCTTGGCCCCCAGCCATGACCCGAACGCGCTCCAGGGCTTCGAGAATAATTTTGCGGGCGTGGGGCAAAACGGATCAATGAGCAGACCTCCCTTGACCCAGACCAGCTCCGGATCCTCCGCCAGTGGTAGCTTCGGCATTTGTGGAGGCCACGAGGGCATGTATGGCGTAAAAATGCAATCCGACGACGCCTACAACCAGCTCTCGGTGAACCAAGACATGGGAGCTTCACACATTTCTCACGGCGCCTTGATGGGAAGCACTGTAGCGGCGCCGATGGTTGCGTCAGTCGTGCATGAGGTGGTGGATGGAAATCACTGCGAGTCCATGAACACCACTACGGTGGAGTCCGGCGATGTCTCGGGGTTGTCTGCCCCTGCGCGGTACCAGTCCACCGATTTCAGTTCCGGCAGCCCAGAGTGGAAGCACCTGAACTCCCCTTCTGGACAGTTGGAGGCAAATATCTCAAGTCCAACCTCCGACGACTATTGCTCCGCGTGACGACCATCCGCCACTCTAACTCGAGATGTACCACACTGCGAGTGTCAATTATGTAATCGAAGCGTTTCCAGCCCGCATCGGGTCACTGTATGAACCATTGTGACCATTGCCAAGTAGCGCATTAACTTGTTTCGACGCAGAGAGCCTGGACCTGGCCTGGACCAGCAGCTGCAGCAGCAGCAAACACACAAGGGGATTGAAGGGTCGTGGTGACATTTAATTTACTTGTACATTTTTAGCAACATCTTGTTTGTACAGCAAAGTGGCTTGGGGGTAAATCAGCCGTAGAAACCTATAGTCATCTGCGCCCTTCACCTTCAAGGTCATGAGATTCATATTCGTCTAGGCGGCGAGAAGGCTTTCTCATTTTGCTGTAGAATTTGCCGTGTGTCGTGTCGAAGCCTCATGAATTTTTCCTTCATGTCGACGCCATTTCGTATTGCGGACCGTGATTGCAGTAAAAAACTCGCACCCACCGGGGTCGGTGCCCTGTATGTCCCCCCTACGACTACTACTACTAAAAGTATTGTTGTTGATGTTGTTGTTGTTGTTCCTCTTGCCCTGGCCCTTCCTTGCATGCAGGTTTCCCTTTTTCTCATGCAATGCCATGCAATGTGACCTCGATGATGCTGACTGTGCACGTTTACTAGTCAAACACCCCTATGCAGGACCAATTCAACACTTGGGGGTCTGTACTTGGATCTCAAGTATTTTAGAGTTTTAAAGACCACTTTGTACACGTATATAATGTACGAGAATCCACACCGCCGGATCTAGGGTCTTTAACTATCACCAATCAATCTGAATGTCTGTCTGGCTGTCTCTGTCTGTCTGTCTGTCTATCCATCTTTTCATCAATCTTTTCGTAGTCACAGATGAAAGACAAAGACGTTGATTGTTGTGTTAAATGTGTGTTTTTCTTTTGTTTGTTTGTTTGTTGTTGACAATGATTGGCGAAGGAAACCACCTTGCACGGAGGAGAGTCCACCTAAATGTCCGTTTGAGAACGGCAGGGGAATTGGTCGAGAATGTGTTGATTGGCATGTGTGCTTGAGAATTCAACTCCAGGGCTGAGCTTTCTGAGGGAATTTGGTGATTCTACCTGAAATTAGCAATCTAAACTGACTATAACGCAGGTTCACTTCTGTATTGATTTAAAAAAATTCCTTTTCAACTTGCTTGAGAAGATATAATAGGACAACATAACTCTTCCTTTCATACCGTTGTATAATAATATCAACCTAAATCCAATTCTACGGTGGTGTGCATTGTCGTCTAATTACTCGTCTAATTACTTCTTCCTCTTATCATGTTTGTTGCAAATAATTGAAACATATGTTTGTTCATATTCATTAATTCTATGTTATTAACTTCTGCCTTTGTCCATTTTAGAGGATATATATTATTGCACTGGCATGTGAAGTTTCATCTCCCATTTCTTTCCTTAATGATGCATCGATTTTATAAGATCACATTCATAAAGTACAAAGTAATTTTTTTTCAAGATAAAGATATGATATATCTGGATAAGAAATGGGAGAAATTGAAGGTATATAAAAGAGTGTGAGGTTATCATAAATATTTTGTTAAAGCTAATACATTTATGGTTTTTAAATTTAGATAAGAATTTATGAAAGTTAAACTGATGCGTTTGAAATTAAACAAGTATACAAGTAAATATATATATATATATATATATATATATACATGGGATACAAGGAAGATAAAAACAAAAAAAATAAAAAATTGCTATATGTAATTACATCTAGCAATTTTGTGACATGATTAAATTATTTTTGTGCAGAAAGTTTTTATACAAGAATTTCTAAAAGAATTAAAAATATTATGATAATGAAGATGAAGAAAAACAATAAAGCGATTGTGTACTACACACATCCAATTCATTGTTCATATACTAAAACCATACAGAAACATTATGGAGAATAATAATTACGGAATAAAATATCTTTAACCCGATTTATATTTTAAGAAATTTTATTTTAGTCTTATTTACTTTGTGTTTTTGATGTATTTTAGTAGTTTTTAAGATATATGTCAAAAATGCATGTGGAATGCTAACAAAAAATTTCAGCATGTCAAACATAAATGTTGATGCATATTGCTGAGATAGTAAGAATAGTATTAATTCTCTTTTGATCAATTGCACAATGCAATTATGATTCATTCAAATATCAACTTTAATATGAAGCCAAAATTTTACATTTTTAAACTATATATTATTAGTATAAATTTATATTATTTAAATTATATTATTACTATAAAATTTATAATTTGAAAAATGCTTTTTGTGTGTGTGTATATATATATATATATATATATACATATAATTGTTTTAAAACATTTTTTTTATAGTGCTAATATATATGTTTGAAAGTACAAGTTGCTTGAAGAACTTACCATTTCACTCCTATCAATATCAAAGTGATAATATACAATATAAAATATATCTATTTATGCTAATTAGTCATCATAATTTTTTTATCTAATACTTAAAAATGATTTAATGACTTAATTTTAATAGTTTTTTTTAAAATACCAAAAAATCATTAGAACTTTAATGAGTTTTAGAATTTATAAAATAATTATCTATAGTGACTACTGATTTCATTACATATGTTTAGTTTTTAAACTTATGCATAAAAATTTCTTAAAATAATAATATAAACCATTGAATCTACATTGATCCTAAAACTACAAGATGACTTATTTTTTTAGAATAGTTCTTATTGAATATTTTGGATTACACGATCCTTTCAAATTCCAAATTAAATAAAATGATTCTTTATTAGTATTTAGTATAATAAAAATAATATATTAATATTAATATAAAATATCTTTAATATAGATACATTAGAGAATCTAATTTTTAAAATAAAGTAAAAACTAATGCAAAATGAATTATTCTTCTACTAATATAATTTAATATTAAAATATTTTTAGATAAGTAATAATTTTTATATTATATTTGAATTTTTAGTATTAATTTAAAAACATAACATATGTAATTTATTTTATTTCTAAATTTATCTTTTAAAAATAAATAAAATGATAGACATATTTATGTAGATTTTGAAACTATATTAACATTTTATATTTATTTTAGTAAAGTAGCAATTATAAAAATTAAGCACTCTTTTTTATTGATTTTAAAAATCATAATATACTAATTTCGTGTTGGTATTCTTTTTAAGAAGTACAATTATCTTACTATAAGTTTTTTTTATAAAGACATTGATTGTTGAGTCTTGAAATTTACTTTAAAATTAATCTATAATAAATGGAGTATTATAAATTTTTTAAATGTCTTCCAAAACATTAAGATGTATAATATTATATAGAATTTGTATACATATATATATATATATATATATATATATATAAAAGAAAATATTAAATAGACCCAAGTTTTTACTAAATCAAACTATCCATGATAAAGAATATGGTAATCATGATGAATGTGGTTGAATTTCATTGGTTTTGGATCCAATAGTAGAGAAATGAATCTAGAAATCATTTTTTTTTCATGATAGTTAAGATGGGTAGGTCAATTTAGTAAAAGATTGGATCTATTTAATATTTCCCTACATGTATTAAAAATACCATGATTTTATAGTATTATTTATATTTTTTTAATTATTTCTTAACATCATATTAATAACATTACTATTCTAGATCATCATATGCATTTAAAAAAAAAACGAATATTAGATTACAAAGTATTAAAGAATTAAGAATTAATAACATCAATATAACTTATGATCTAGAAAGTATGTAATCTTTTCTTTTATTTTCTTTTCTTTTTTTCCAAAAGTATAAAAATCCCTTTTTCTCTCTTTTTCTATATTAAAATATAAATAATCACACATATAAAATATATATTTGAATTCACAACAATGTAGCTTTAAAACATTAAAACTTTAAAAAATTTAAATTATAATCAAGTTTAAGAAAATTATCAAATAAGACATATAATTCTATTAAAATACAAACAATTATGTTTTGTAATGATAATATTTGGTTTAATAATTTTAAAATAATTGATCTTGGTTTTTTTAAATTAAGTATTTTTTAAAAAAGAAATTGATTTTAATTATATGTTTTAAATTCACACAAATCATAAAAAAGATACAATAACTTTAAAATTAAAATTATATAACTTTCAGTACATAATAAATTATAGTTCTAATATCAACACTATTGTATTTTTTTTGCAATGTTGGGTCTTAGTTACACCTACATGAGTATTCTTTGACAAGCCTTTGTAAATTCATGTTCTTTCATATGGATGTCTATTCTGCAAAGAAACTACTCGGAAATTCTATCCAAATCTTGTAATTGTTTTTTCTTGTACATCCAATCTAAACACTGAGTGTCTAATCAATGAACAGGTTTGTGATTAAATTTTGATGTTTGAATTTCTTTTTTATATGAAATGTATATCTAAAACTACACTAGTTCTACTTCAAGGACAACAAAGATGAATATAGAAAAGAGTATATTTAGATTAATTTACTCCGAAAAGAAATGCTCATTTTTTTTATATTGCATGTAACAATTTAAGGACTCAATGCAAAGAACCTTTACAAATTACATAAAGAAAATAAACAAACCTTATTAACAAAAATAATTACAGCAACAATAATAACAACCAAGTTGCAAAATTTTCTATAAATTCAAACTACACAGTCCACTTCCTGAATGGGAATGGAATTTATTTACAACCTACGCTGCTGAGGTGGCGAGCATGCGATGGATGGTGTTAAAATAAACTTCGAATCACTGATCGAAACTCTGCCGACAACTCTGTTCTAAATTGACAGAGGAACAGTAAAAGTAGTAAATGTAGACACATTTTAGTGGATGGCTCCACTCAATCCATCGACAATGAGTTCTCGACGAGTTTCCGAGTAGTTTCTTTGCAGACTTTACAAGAACAAGAGTCCACTTCGAGAAACCTTCTTTCCTTATAGAAGCTGGGAAGTAAGAGATCCCAGCATCATTCTCGCTTAGAGCAAGCTGCGAAACTAGTTAACGGGTTTCGCCTGCTCTCTCACCATTCGAGGGTTTGAGCTCCTCGCAGAATCTTCACCGATCTAGTGAGTCACGTTTCACGCCCCTGCTCTCTGCTCTCTGCTTGGAATGATTGTTTTTTTCATCAACATTCGATTTCTACTGTTAGAATTTGGTTTCTAGGTGTGTCCGTAAGTCCTTCAGAGAGGGGGTTCGGCAGAATTTTCTTCTTCGCTTACTCTAAGGTTTTCAGAAATTATGATGAGATTGCAGTTAATCCGTAAGTCGGTAAGTCGGTAAGTCGGTAGTGTGTGTTGAGTGACAGTTGCGTAGCTGCTGACATTAACCGACAAGACATTCTAACAAGTATCACCGTTGTTTGCTCGCTCTGGTGTGCTCGAAAAACACCAGCAGGTGGTTCAGGTTTCGGATTGTCGGCACATTTTGTCGGTAAATTTTGTCGACATAACGTCATACAAGCTTTGCTTTCGTGAGCTGGTGGCGCTTTTGGGGATCCTTGCTTCGCAGCCCTCGCTGTTTGTGCAGCGTGTGTAATACGAAGATGGCTATGTTAAAAGCCTTTCGCCTCGCACCTGCGAAAACCAGCATCGATGGCCTGATTCAGCATTACCACAGCGATTCTCACCAAAGTGAAGTCGTCGTGGTGAGTACTGGGAGAAGATGGCAGGTGAGAACTTTGGTCTATCTTGCCGTGGCTGACTTGAAGAATAGCTATTATCTATTATCTATGTAGACATGGAGAGTGGGTATTCCCCCACTTCTTCAAGGTGGTCTTTCCTTAGATGATTCTGATGTGGTTTGTTTCTTTCAAGTTCAGAAAATCAAGACCGTCAAAACGAGCTTGGCTATCGTTAACAGGTGGCGTAAAACTTTGGAGGCTGGTCATAGTAACAAGACGGTTACCGTGGTACTAGCTGCCACCGTTAACACAAGCAAGGCCAATCCTACGTTAAACGTAATTGAAATCGCCGGAGACACTGCTATCAAGTCGGGCCGACCCAACCAAAAGAACCGAAGCTTCCAGAGGCAGCTGCAACCCAATGAGGTGCTACGTCCAACACCGATCATGATCTAATGTCGCTGTGATAAAAAAAACAAAACTCTGATTTTATAGTTCAAAGTAAACTTAGAGATCTCAGCCAGATAAAGAATCGGAGTTTGATTTTGGGGTTTAAGGAAGAATCATGTTTAGAACATTTCAAAACAAGAACATGCTTGCTGTTTACGTTGAAAGTCGACCTGATCTGAAAAACTCTTTCCTTGAAATTTCTTTTTTTAGAATGTGACTTATTCTTACCGACTTTATCGATTTTTTGAATTTATTGACTTAGTACAATGCAGTTTATTGTCTTGTCGAATGTTACTCATTCATTCGTTCTTTTTTTCTTTGTCTCATTTGTTTTTCTTTTTCTTTTTTTCTTTCTATCAATTAGTTTCTAATTCTTTTCACTTGATTAATCAACTGCGATATGCTATCCTTTAATTCCCTTGCACACAAACGATTTGAAGTTGCATCTCGTAAGATCTCAGAGTCCAAGATATTGAAGAGAAGGCTTCTTATTTAATTTTTTATATTTGACTTTTATGAGTTTCTTCAATCGTTTTTGCTGTTGGATTATTTTCATATGCCACACGCGATTTTGTTCACACTCAGTTCATGCCTGCAGGTACAACCACAAGCTATTACAATTAAATCGGCTCACCAAAACGGACAGTCGAAGAACTTGATACCATGTCTTCAGGACGGAGCCATTGTGCTTGTAGTCTACGCGATCTTAGCCGGGGAAGTATGTCTCTCATCTCCACTTGTTTTTGTTTAATTACTGTCTGATAAGAATTGCATGGCAAACGAAGTTTATTTCTCATGGTTGCTGCGTTTTTTTAAATAACGTGCTCCTACTTGCTTGCGATACTCCAGAAGGTCCCCCCGAAGCACGCTACTATCGTGATTTGCGTTGCAGCAATTCTGTGTGCCCTCGGGAAACATAGAAAAGGCAAGTGTACATCTTATGTAATCCTTTTTCTGCATGACTTCATTTTTTTGTGTAGAAGTTCGTCACGAATCAGACCTCATGTTGTGTTTGAGAACATAGGGCACGGTTTCCACAAGCTAGTATTCTATAGAATTCAGAGGTTTAATGTGTGGGTGTATGAAATTTTTTGCATGTATCTACACTAAGAAGTGTCGAATAGCTGTTCCACAGAGAGGCCACTTGCTCCTGCACTGAAAATTACTGTGTTATGGCTCTTCAGTATGCAAACCTTCAGGTGCGATCCGTTGGCAAGTCAGGAATCACACGCCCTTGAATACGGAGGTATTTACATGCGTCCCACAGAAAAAACAACGGTGTCCTGCATTTTTCTTGGGAAACCTACCTTTTTCTTTTCAATTCAGAGATTCACAACTCCTGACTTACTTTTATGCCTGTTATCAGAGTTTATTGCTTGGCGTCATTGGTCCAGCACTTTTTGGTTCAGTTCAGGCAGAGGGTTCGGCAGAGAACAGCTCGAGGTAGATATATAGAAGCTTGATCCTTAGTCGGAAAATCAAGGGTACGTTTTCGTCATGATCAGAATTATTGTGATGCATTTGACGAACGCACTGACTCCTTCGCTTGGATCATGCAGCAATTCAGAACATGCAAACTTTGGTAGAGACTATGATACTCTTAAGGTATGAGGGGAACAATGTCTCGTGCATTACATGGTGTGTTCCTCGGTGGCTCATCAAGTTTCCTGACATCGGATCATTCAATTCGTGAACTAACACAATTGCTGATGCTTTTGCTCCATTTTACAGATAGCAGCGACATTAGCGGCTATAGGATTATGTTTGTGGTTTAAACTAAATGGCCAGAGTGAGACTTAACCCAATCCCTAGTCACATTTTTGAAGAGATCATGCATTTATGCCTACTGTATTTCAAAAGAACTTTATCACTTGCAAAAGTCTGAGGCGGTCAATCAATTTACACGCTCTTTCTGAAAAAGTCAGTGGGTGGCATCTGGTTTCGTGTTTCAGGGCTTCTAATGTGGTGCTAAGGGTGAACTCTGTTACTACTGGCTTGTGTAGATGCAGCACAACAGGTTGCAGCACAACAAGCTCCACCAGCTCCACAAGTTGCACAACAACAGGCTCCACCACCACAGATTCCACCGCAACAACAGGTTGCAGCACAACAAGCTCCACCAGCTCCACAAGTTGCACAACAACAGGCTCCACCACCACAAATTCCACCGCAACAACAGGTTGCACCACCACAACAGGTTCCACCACTAGAACCAGTTGATATTGATGAGATCCTGGGTAGGGATCTGGAACCATTCAAAAAGAATGATGATAGGCTGGAAATTCATCCATGTATCAACCATGAAGGGGAGCATCAAGGGTAGAGTATTGCTAATGTCACCATTTTGCTATCACCCTTGGAACCTGCCATTCATCACTTATCAATATTAAATAAGAAAATTATTTTTTTGATAGATAGATAGGGAAATGATATTTCCACCTCATGTTTTTTTAGTAGTGCCACCTCAAAATATATTATTCCTAGAGCTTTACTAGGGGTACTTCATGCAATTTATTTGACTAATTTTTTTACTATTCCCACTTCATTTAAGAAGTAAAATTTGATACATAAGTTTATTCAAACTTGGGCATATTTCTAGAATCCAATTGAATGGTTGCCACAAATTACTTTAATTGATGATGAGTCAATAAGTTAGAGCTAAAGATGTAAAATTAATCAATCAATTATATGAAATAGTTTGATGAAGTGATCAATCGCAATTAAAATTCAATCAAAATCAATAGCTACATCCCATCACTTCCTCCATGCTCAAAATCAAATGTATGGCATTAATTACTAAAACAAAATAAAAATGAAAAACAAGTCAATTTTTCTTATGACATGATACACAATAACACCATATTGCACAAAGTGCTCGCAATTAAAGATGCATGCTTAGATCACCATACATCAGATCTACAATCTATAATGGCAATACAACCACCATTAGAGTTCTACTTTAAAGTTCTATTGATTGTACAATCAACGACAAATTGACTAAGTCCACTAATGCACTTAATAGGAAACAAACACACCTTGAGGGATCTCTAGATTAACAATCAATGCTTTACTATGTTAGATCCTCTTTATAGAATGATGTATAAATTTATTCAGACTGTAAATTAGAATTAGAGCACATTATTATGTAATAGCCAAACAAATAACAATGTCAATACTTTTAACCATCTATGAATTTAAATGTAAAAATATCTCTTTTAATAGAATAAGAGTTAAGATTTGTTGCATTAGTTGAACAACCACATGTATAGTATGCTATTGGATTTTTGAACTACATGTTTGAAGAAATGTTGGCAAATTATTGCAATATTGTGGCATGCTAGTGGACATGCGAAAAAAAAATTATATTTAAATCTTATGCCATCTATCTTATAATAAATCTATAGTTAGAATTGGTAGTTGTTTTACACTCTCTAATATCGAATGTTTATGAAAATTATAGATATAATTTTTTTGGTTTTGCTAAAGTTAACTCTAGATTTTTTAAGTTCAAAGAAGCCTTTAACTTTGCTTAAAGAGATTAAAATATATATTTAGAGAATCTTCATCACCAACTTGGTTTAGTTGCAAGAATTGCTTATGTACCTTTATTAATACAAAAATTGAAACTTTGGTAACAACATTGAAGAAGAAAAGAACTTTTAGAATATGAAAAATTTGTAGCTTGTCAAATTTTATCTTAATTATTATTTCTTTGGTTTAATTATATATAGCTTGATCAAGCCATTACCATATTATATGCAAGTTTTCTATCAAAATTTGTAAGTAGCATTTGATGGTTGCATGTATTCCTTCCACCTTTGAATTTATTACATTACCAAAATGCATGTTGAGATTCATTTAAGTACATACAAAGTGTTGCTTTGACAAAATCTAATTTTTTTTCAAATAGGTCATTGCACAATGTCTTGCAAACTATATTAGGAGTTATTGTTAGTTACCTTTAAACGCTTCTTTGATCTTTGACTGTATCTAATCAGTCCACTTTTTTGAAAAACACATGCCGACAAACATTTAGAAATACAATAGTAAAGAGATGCCTCAAAGCTTGCAATCAATTATAATCATTTTAAACACAAAAATCTATACATGTAAGATTGTAATTTGACACAAAATCAACTTATAACTTAAGTTCTTGATTGCACAAACGTAAAGTATAAGAAGAAAGTACTATTACATGCTGTCACATCAATTACATGGACTAGCAATATTTTAAAAGTATTAGTCTTGTATATATAGTCTATTAACAATATAATGTTATTCTTTTTGATTAATTCAATTCTTGAGTGCTTTGCAAAAAATAAATGAATATTCAATCAATTTTGTTACATTTAATAGTATATACATATTTGTTATTTTTTAGCTAGTTAACAAGGGCTTGAATCAATGTTTGTCTATTCAACAGTTGTTGTCCAATTTTTGCATTTAAATTGGATATAATTCAAGTAGTTACTATAATACTTGGATTTTATTTTTGAAAAATTTTCAAGATTTGAGTTGGTCAAATTCTCAATGCCGACATTTGTTGGACTTATTTTAGCTCTTTTATAGGAAATAGATAATACATTGGAAGAACATCACATAGAAAGCATTGTGGTTGTAATTTCCATTTCTAACTGCTAAATGCTACAAATCGACAATTTTTTAGCTGAAAGTATGTCATAAAGGAGAATCAATCAAATGACTTCATATTTATATTCTATAGCAGCATACTTTTTATCAAATTGAAGGAATTTTGATAGTATTTACTTTTGTTACAAGCAATTATAATTTGCCAACTAATATTGGAATGTCTAATAGTAACAACATATCTTTAATTAAATATAAATTAATTAATATATATTAATAATGCTTTACAACTTTTGATTTTATTTGCAACAATAAGAAGAAGTAGTATTAAAAAAAAAAACATTGTATGCTTCCAATGCTTATATCTACAATGAGAAGAAAATTGATCCACTTTGGCAAAATTAATCTTTACTCAAAAATTATATCTTTGTATAATATAGCTCTTTTAATATGTATAAATTATTTCAAATTAAGATTTAATTTTTTTTTAGACTAAAACTTTCAAAAATATACGTTTAGAATTTGAGGATGAACTCTTATCCAACATGTTATAAACAATGTAGTTGACAATGAAAATAGTATAATCATATATGGTTTATATTTAAATTCAATAAACCTTAAAAATAGGAAATTTTAATATTTCTAATATTTCTAATAATTCTAATATCTTCTTAAATAAGGTGGGAGTAATAAAATAATTACATATATAAATTATATGAGGTACTTCTAATAAATCTTTAAAAATAATATATTTTGAGGTAGAGCTAATAAAAATATGAAGTAGAAATATTTTTCTATATATATATATATATATATATATATATATTATAATTAATATTTTTGAAATAAGAATAAGTTTTTTTATTGATCATTTTAATAAAAAAATTATTTTTTTGAATTTTTTTTGAATTTTATTTTTTATTTCTGTATAATTTGAATATATATATATATTAATTTTTTTTATTGAAATAAAAATAACTAAAAATATATATATTTAGTAGGTAAGAGATTATGGTTGTAATATCAATACTCTAAATTTATGCTGAGATATAATACTTTGACAATGTAATGTTGATATCAAAGGTGATACAATGTAGAATAGTTACAATATAATTCATTTATTGCAACAATAATTGATGCCTTGAGGAGCCATCATTGTGTCCAATGAAATTTTGCTTATACATAAAATTCAACTATGATTATTCAATATGCCATTGTGGATTATTTTCTTCTCATCTTCTTTACATATTGTGTAGTAAGTTCATAAGCAAAACAAGTTGCTTATAGCTCATCAGCCAAGCAATCTTTAAAGTTAAATATAGTAGCTTCAAAAATATGAAAATGCAAAAATGGTCATATATGAAGTCACAATGAAGCTCCAAAAGAGCCAGCTCATCTAGACATTAAACTTCCAAAGTGGATCTTTAATTTATTGTATTTGAATATATTTTAATTCTAATTCTCCACTACATATGCATTCTTGATGCATAATATATTATATGACCAATCTTTTAATGGATTAAAAATCCAAGGTTAAGTAGGATAGTAAGTTAATTAATCCCAAATAAGATTTAAGATTAAATTGAGATTTTGTCTTTTTTGTCATTTTTTCAAAATAGCTTTGTTGTAGTACAATCATAGGTTCACATAAGTATATATACTTCATAAAAGCACAAATTATTCAAGCTCTTATTGTTCTAACATTGTTAGAGAATAACTAAGAATTTTTAAAAATAGCTTATATTGCAAACTCCATCTAACTAAAATTGTTGGTAATAGTTATAAACATGGATAAATTTGCAAGATTCAATCTACTATTTTAATTACAAGAAAAATATTATCAACAAAGTAGAAGCACAACAATAATAAATTTTTACAATATAAATTTCTTAGTTGTGTCAATCGGCTAAGAAATAGTAAAGAAAGAGAATGACTATTTACAAAAGTACATCATTATAGCATACTTTATTGGAAGTAAGTACTCTTTTTTTATGCTATCTAAATAGACTGAGTCAATTTAGGAGTAGCTTCATAAGGTAGTGGTATTAGATAGGAACCTTAAGAATGATTTTTTTTAGATATTCAATCTTCAAATAACTAAAATTTTAAAATTATTAATACTTATTTTCTATTACTTATGATGAGGGTTATGCATTTTACAAATGTGGACCCTAGGATTTGATTTTGATGAATCAAAATGATTCTTAGTGCCAATTTAGATCACACTAAGAAAAATCTATCGCAAATTTATAAAAGTAGTTCCACAATCTAAATGAAGACTAGGTATTCTGTTAAGAAGTAACACTTAAAATGCAGTAATTAAGAAATAACAATTTTGTGTAGCAATAAAGGCTAAAATTGAGTGGCATACATTCATCTTCAACAAATCTATCTCAAAAACTACTTTATCATTATGATAAATTACTACAATCTTTGTATTTATTATTTTTTCTATCTTAATATCAAATTGTCATAGACATATATATTTTTTTAATAATTATCTATTTGATTATTAAATAAATATATATTAATTTCATAATATCTTCTAAAAAAGGTTCCTAAAAGCTTCATAAACGTAATTTTGACTTTACATGTGTTTTTAGTTGTTTGTTAAATTAAAAACTTGATGAATAAGTTAACCATGTACCATATATGTTAGTAGCTTATAAAATAAGCTAACTATATGGCATATATTTAAAAAACTTGCCTTATAAGTTCAAAAATATATTTCATAAAGTCAAAATGTATTGGAGGTCCTATAAAACATTGCCATATAGCTCTTAGTTAGATAGTATATATGGAAGAAAGAATAAAGCCTTCTTCACTCTTGCCAACATTCTTCTAGTCCTTAGTCTTATTTTAAGACTTTTTAGTCTTCTTATCTTTGATAATAGCCATTCTATTTTTATATTATATCATCTTTGAGTGATTTTTTAGTTCTTTTGAGTAACATAAGAGTATATTGAGAACTTCTTTCTTCAAGATTCATATCCTTG